AAGTGTGTGATGTGATTAAAGAATTTGTGAAATTCTCGAGGAAATATAAATGGTTGTTGTGAAACACGTTTTACAAATGGCGAACATTCCTATAGAGGATATTTAGTGACACCTTTGTAATAAAATATGCTTTGAGCGGGAAGAGAGGACGTTGTATAAACATGAAAAGGGGGGGGGGGGGAGGGGATTCCGTAATATAAACATGAACGGGGTCGACTGGGGAGTAACGTCTAAAGGGCATTTGCCGCTGTTTTTTGTCGGGGATTCTATTACTGGGGTCACTCATCCTCCGCGGGATGTTTGTTAGGTTTGTCATTTACTTCTCTCTCTTTTTTTTTTTTTTGAGGTTGGCATATTTCTTGCCTATTTGAAAATACCGGGATTTGAATGCAAAAATGGCTGTGAGGTTGTAGGCGGTATAATTCGGAATAGTTGCATCCCGAAGATATCTGGAGTCAAATGATTGAATTCATTGAGATATACATCTCGAGGCAATTGCTGTGAGTTCTAAACAAATGGGGGTTGTGGAGGTGTGATGTACAGAACATTCTCTGTGTAATATTTTAATTTATTGACATGTATGGTGTCACTGTCTCTATTGAGAGGTTGATTGGGGCGATCTATTCGAACGACATTGGGTGAGATTATTTCCATTATTGTATATGGTCTAGTAAAATATGGTGCTAATTTACCTGTGTCGGGATGTCTATAATTTTTTATTAAAACAAGTTCATTCAATTCGAAATGTTGTGTTCTGTGCTGTTTATCAAATGTTTCTTTATCTTTTTTATGCTTATTTTGGGTACGAGAGCGTGCTATCTCTCGAGCTATAGTTATATCGGGGTATGGGTTAAGATGAGTTCGTAGATCTGGGGGGATAACATTGAATATTAAGTAAGTGGGTGAAAAACTTGTGACAGAATGGGGTGTATTATCATACGTCTGAGTGACGCGCTTAACTAGTTGATTCCAGGAAGCTTTCGGATTTTCTAGATAAGATAGTCTGAGCTTGCTTGTAATGGTCGCATTTAAGCGTTCAATTAAACCGTTTGCTTGTGGGTTGTTGCTTGTGGTGAGTAGGGCTTGTATACCATGCATTATTAGAAATTTACGGAATTTTTCTGAGGTAAAAGCGGGCGCTCTGTCAGATAACAGACGTTTTGGAAATCCTTGTTGTAGTACAGTTTTGAGGGTTTGAATATACGTTTGAGTACTGGTGGACTTCGATGAAAGGTCCAAACATATCGCGTTAAATGATCCGCTATTACGTGTAGATATGTCTTGGAGTGTTCATATTTCGAAAATCCAGCTATGGTATCTATAGAGATTAAGTCGAAGGTTGTTGAGGTGGTGGAATTTGTCCGAGGGCACCATAGGGTTTACCTTTGGGCCTTTTAATGATTTGGCAGGTGTGACACGACCTGACAAATCTTTCTTTAGATTTAGAGATACCTTTCTATTAGAACTGGGTAGTAATTATGCAGGTCATCTGAGAGATGCCTGGGTGGTTATATTCTTGGTGAACTTTGTTCATGAGAGTATGTTGCAGGGTTTCGGGAATTATTATTTTAGTTACACCTTTTCGGGTAATGGTATGTAAGCCGTTTGTATCAATGTTGAAGGGGGATGCTGTTGGTTGATGCTGTTTAATAATATCAGCACTGATAAATCCTACAAAGGGGTTTCGTGATAGTAAATTTGCTTCGTACTGTTGGCTGCCTTTGAGGTAGTGGATTTCGTAATTATAGGCAGATAGTCTAAGGCTCCATCTGAAGAGTCGTTCTGGCGGATTTTTCTTCATAGTTTTAAGCCATTGTAAAGCTTGGTGATCTGTGTATATTGTAAATTGTATACTGGTGAGGTATATTCGGAATTTGTCTACACTTTCGACGATGGAGAGGCACTCGAGTTCGGAAACGGTGTAGTTTCTCTCATCTGCTCTAAGGGCGCGGCTGAAATATTCTACAGGATGAACTTGTCCGTCTAGATGTACCTGTTTGAGTATGCCTGCGATCCCTTGGGTGGATGCGTCGCAATAAAGGCGGCACGGCAAACCGACTTGATACAAGTGTAGTACTGGTTTACTGGTTAAACTCTCTTTGAGAGTGGTAAAGGCTTGTTGACAGTCTGGGTCCAAATATATTCCATTTCAAATCTTTTTAAAGTAGTTTATTTAAAGGTGCTCGTACGCGGGCATAATATGTTATAAACTTATTATAAACGTTCACTGCTCCTAAAAATGATTGTAGTGTCTTTTGATTGGTAGGTGGTTTGAATGACATTTATGGTATCAAGGTTGCGCGTCTGTGGTGAATAAGTACCTGTGATAACAGTGTATTCTAAGAAATCTATAGATATTTTAAAAAACGAACATTTATTATAATTGAGTTTGATGTTTTCGTGTTGACACACCGTTAGAAATTGTTGTAGGCGTTGTAGATGATCCTCTAAGGTATCAAAAAAAAAAAAGAAATTGTCGAAGTAATGGGTAACAAAATTGAATTTATATTTTTTCATGACCTGGTTTATGGCACGATGGTATATCTGTGGCGAATTTTTAAATCTGTACGGAAGTCTACAAAATTCGTACTGATTATCTAACGTCACAAAAGCTAGAAGATTACGTGAGTTAGGTTTTATTTCCACTTGCCAATATGCGGATGCTATATCTACAGAAGAGTAGTAATTGGCTTTCGTTAATTTGTCAAGAATGGTTTCTATTAAAGGTAACGGATGTATGTCTGGAGCGATGATTTCATTGCGTTTTCTTTAATCAACACAGAAACGTTTCGTTTTGTCACGTTTCGTAACGAGAGTTATTGGACTGGCATAAGGTGAGACTGACGGGGCCATGATTCCATGTTGGAGCATTTGCTCTTTTTGGGTTTGTATTTCTTGTTGGTCGTGTAGTGGCACTCTATATGGGCGTAATGCTATTATTTTATCTGTGGTGGTATTGATTTTTATCGGTGGTATGTTCAATTTGAGCCCGTTGTATTTATTAGTAGAGAACACATGCGAGAATTCGTATAGAATTGGGTGAAGTTCGTGTGGACAATGTTCTAACTGAGGTGACGCATTAGAAGGTATAGATAACTCAATATCATGGGCAGGAGATATAGGGGTAATACAATAGTAAGAGGAACATATAATTGGGGTAGGGTCCGCCACGTATAAACAAGACTGGTTCGAGGGGAGGGTGGTAAAAATAGCTGTGTTTCTCAGTTGATTGGGACATAAATCGCTTGATGAACTTATAGGCATTTGTTGGGAGAGTATCATTCTTTTGATAAATTTGGAGATTATTAAAATCTATAATTAATTTAAATGTTTTAAGGGTATTAATAGATAAAATACCAAAAGTAGTGAAGCTTCTATTATAAAAATATTAGTTTTTGGGTGAGGTTACCTATTTTAAGTTTTAAAAAACTATATCTTAGGGTATTTACATTATGGGCTATTTCATTTATAGTTAAACTGTACTGATGGATAATAATTTCTATTTTCTATAGTTCTTAAAATATCTAAGTATGCTTATAGATGCTCCCGTGTCTATTAAAAAGGGAAAATTTACATTTGGTGACAGTTCAGTCCATATTACAAGCTGTTCAACGAAAATAGGTTGCTGGTTTTCCTACTGTTGAGTTGCTGGCGGGGCTTGTAGAGCCGTCTTGGCTTGCAGCTTGGACTTGGGGAACAGGGCTCAGGGATTGGACCTTGGGCCAGTTCAGGGTGTGGGTACCACGTTTTGGTACAGTGGTTGTGCGTGGTCTGGCGCTGTAGACTTGGCGTATTCGGCCCTGTGATAACCGTTGTTCACACTGGGAGTGCCAGTGCATAGCATTGAAATACTTGCAAGGCGAGGGTGGGTGTGCACCTTGGTATACTACACGTGGTGATGACCGCTGGTTGTTGTACCGCGGTGGTGGGTTGTGGTAGGTTGGATGTGGGGCTTTGTCTACTTGGTGCTGGTACGCGGCACTGGTGGCACAC